CCAAACCTGGCTAGTCTTGATTCTCCCTCGCTAAGCTAACTATGTATTCCAAATCCAAAAAAGGAAAAGTGTTGGAGGAAAATTGAATTTTTAATTTAATTTGTGCATGGACAGATTAGTTTGCTAATCGCTGTAAAGTTTTCAAGCATCAAATACTGATAAACATGTGGTAAACATGTTAATGAATGCCTTTTTAGACCTACTGGTAATGTTTAAAGGCTAATTTAGATTTAAAAGGCTGTGTTACCGTCACTACACGGCTCAAATATATTTTGTGGCTCCAGACTTTTTTGGTTGGGCCAAAAATGGCTCTTTTAATAGTGAAGGTTGCTAACCTGTGGGCTAGGGTTAGGGTTAGGGGATCACCAAAGTCAGTACGCGTCAACCTGAAGGGACCATAAATATCTGTACAAAATTCCGAACTACTACATAGTTATTGAGATTTTCAGTCTGGACCAAAGTGGTGGACTGACCGTCCGACAAACACTGCCACCCACAGTGCTGTTAGCATGGCAAAAAATGTGTGTGGACAACAAAAACAAGGTAAGGAGTTCATAACTGAAATTAAGAGCACTAGACTGAATAAGTATATATAACAAATAAGATATCCAAATACAGCATGTTTTTTATATTTACAAGACATATGACTTCATAACAAAACACCTACATTCCTATTATTCACAGATAATGGCCGAACATTAACTGAAGACTCTGAAAAGGCTCCTCAGAGATGATCATAATAGAGATAATATGTACCGTAGCACTAGAGACACAGCTGACAGCGAAAGCTAAAAAACACATCTTTCTTGTTTGCTCATGGCAACAATTAAACACAGAAAAATGCACAGCGGCAGAGTCAGTCATTGATCGAAATGAGAGAACTAGGTTTTGTTACTGGAGGCCAAAAAACAAATGTTGGCCCATTCAGCTAAAATACCTCCCACTCCTGCACCCACACACACATCAACTGGGTTTAATCTGTCTGGCATGAAAGCTATCTGTAAACAAAATCAGTGTGGCTGTCAAGCTGGGGATCAGTTCACGGAGGAGTGTGGTAGAGGACGATGATGATGAGAGAGGAGAGAGGCAGAAGACTATGGGGTGTAGTCATTCAGACACATGGGGAAACTGGAGATCTGCCCCAGAGACGGACGGAAAACTGAACCAAAACAAAACATTCCTACAATTTAAACAATGCTAATCACCACACACACAGGACTCCAACTAGCCAAGCTTACCATGCCGCCTGCCTTAAAACTAAAAAAAATTCTAGATATTTTAATATCAGAACACTGCTTTCTCTATATCTGTGTGGACGTTTGGGAAACAATGACATCATCTCCTCAATTCGTGAATGCCCATTGCTGCTTTGTGTAATTAGCATATGCTAGAAACCCCAACAACGGCGGACTACCGGTTTGCTAACATTTTATTAGCACTGCTACTTTACACTTGAAGTTAGTATTGCTGCACTACTTCACAGACAAATGGAGCTGCTGCATCAAATGTTTTTGCTCCACCTCACCGTCCGCAGTTCAAAGTCTGCCGAAAATGACGGTTTTGGATCAGACTCAGTCAAACCAGCAGATGGTGGGACACTTTCCAAAGTGGGATTGTTGCTGATGAGCTCCTTCATCCTTATATTGAACAGGAATCAGTGGTGATGAGATCTCCAGTAGGTATTTCAAAAAGGTAACACTTTACTACCTTTGCGATGTGGGGAGACTTCTAAAGACAGCTAACAGTAGCGAGTGTTTGGTGTCATTTTCGCAGCCTAGTGTGGACAGAATTATTTTCTAAAAAGGAGGGGAAAAATATCTGTTTTCAAAAATATTTGTATACATGTTAACAGGACATAATACTCTCCACATACACTACTCTACCATACCCATCAATGTTCTGATTGTGATGATCACTCACTAACTGATACATTAAGATGAACTGCAATGCCAGGACTAGAGATAGACTTATCAATTAATCAGCTAATTATTACTTAACATCATAGTTCAAGAACAGAAAAAAAAAAAAAAAATTTAGTCTATGATCAAACAAAACAAAGAAAACAGAATCTTCACACATGAGAAGCTAGAATTATCTTATATTTTTGTTTGAAAAATGACAAACAATACACATTATTTTTCTTTGTATTGATTTATCTTTTCAGCTCTACAAAAAAAGTACCACAGTTTTCTTAGAGAAAACAGATGAATGTCACAGTACAATGCTCCACTGCACTCTTCTCACTCTCTCATTCTTATTCAGAGCCACACATGTCAAACTGTTGCCCAGAGCTGTCTGGTTGGAGGCTACTCCACTCACTCGGAAAGCTAAAAACAGGATTTCACTCAAGTGTTTCCTTTCAGTCGACATTCTGATGGACTTTCTCCACCACAACCCGTTAAGAGATTATAGAAAAAGGACGCTGCAAGCACACTGTGTCACACGCATGAATAATGACTCGGCATCAAACCAAATGCTGATGAAAGTCTATGTGCATGTGTGTGTGTGTGTGTGTGTGTGTGTGTATTTGTGGACGACACATTTCCATCCGTGACTAGCTGATGTGTCACGCAGCGAGCTGCAGGTTTCACAGAAACATACCCTCTAAACGTGGGAATTCCTGTGATGTAACGTTTCACTCAGTAGGAGAGTGACTTCCGCTGTGGTGAGCAGGCAGAATCACGGTATGTGTGTTCACAGGCTTTCTGTTTGGGGCTAAATGAGACAAACAAGCCATGGTCTCAAGGAGTGAAAGAGGGAAACAGAAGCAAAACAGACACAGAAAGGTTTAGAGAGAAAGATGCCAACAAGGGTGATTTTAAAAAAGTGTAAGAGGTCGAGGCAAAAGGGAGCGAGAGGCAGAGTGAGAGCGGGAGAAAATAAGGGGAGAGAGAGTTGCTCGCTTTCCATCAGCAGTGCTGTGATCAATATCAGTGTCTGACAGGGCAGTGCTCCAGCCTTTACTGTAAATCACTTCCTATTATGATGGGACCTCTAAATCACACAGACACACACACACACACAATAACCGGCCTGCTGCAAACACACGCACACATGTAGATAAATATACATTCATTTACACAATGGCCCATTTCAGCATACACCAGCATTAGATATTTATGTCCTTAGAGTGCAGTTCCCCAAAAACAGGCAATAAACAGCACTAAAAGAGCAGGAAAATATGACCTCAGTCCAGCAGAACCACAATGACCAACTTCAGTTAAAATACTGCAGTCAGCGCTCGATTAATGCGCAATATGAGCCTGGGGATTTACACGAAACAAGAACAAGTGTTCAGGCCTGAAAGGATGATTCAAGACTTAAAAAAAAAATTTCTTTACTCGTCCCCAGGGAAATTTGTGTTGGACATAAAGGCTGCCTCATAAAAATACAGGTAGCAGACATAAAGTGCAGTCAAATACGTGCAACACAGCCCCTTATTTCACACCTTGCTTACTCATTGACACAGGGATGAAAAAGTTTTATACCTTCTTTGGCATTCTCTCCTGTGTTTAATTGGAACCCTATAGAGTTAACCTGATGGAAGCCATTAAAATTTTGAAAACAGGACATGGGAGGGGTTTGCAATAATTATCCTAGCCTGTGGATTGGTTGATGGATACCCAGACAGGCTGTTTTTATGCTGTTTGGACATATATCTATGAAAAGTAATGCACCAGAATTCATGTATAACCCACGTATATCAGGAAGGCTGTGATTATATGATTAATGAGCTGATGGGAGTATGGAAGGAAGTAGTAAGAAAAGTGAAAGGAGGAAGGTTGGGGTGGTCGTTGGGTCAAACAAACACAGGACTTTCTCCAGGAGACCGGTGTTCAGAACCTTGTGAAACAAAGTGAACTCGAGTCATTTAAGGATACGTCATTCCCATATTTCTTTTTCTAACCCTAATCTCCATGACTTCACTTGCCTGAACCTAACCTACATAGTCTTACTCGTCTAAACCTAATCGACATAACTTAACTTTCCTAAATCTAACAACAGTAATTAGTTCAAGTTCAAGTTCAAGTTAAACTTTATTGTCCCTGAGTGGACAATTTGTGCTGCAGCATGGTACAGACATAAAAAGAAAGACAAAGAAACAGACACCAGAACAAGAACAATTTAGCAATACATATGTAATTTTACATCAAGTATGTGGGTAAAAAAAAAAACATGTTTCTTTTCCGAGCAGTAACTTTCCTCAATCTAACCTACATAACTTGATGTTAAATATGTAACTTTATGTTAAGTACGTAATGTTATCTCGTCATTTGCAGGGCACAAATTCATTACATATTATACCAACCACTGTGTGTCCATATTTGTAAAATATCATATGAGTCATTGTATGACGGCCACTAGAGGTTGCTAAAGCTTCTAGAGGGTCACAAGGCCTTCTTGATTTTAACAGGTGTAAGACAACTTTTTACAGTTGGCCATGGATTATTATTCAAGGTATAATTTTTAAAAAATCTCACAGTAGAAGGGCACTGTGAAGACCTGAACAAAAGTTATACTAAAGGGTCATCACCCTCTGCTAAACAGCCTTGTCCTGCATTTAGAGTAGTACGCATTTAAAACAACCAAAGAGCTAATAGAACAATGGCCAAGCGTCAGAGAGAAGAAAACATTAAATTTGCCAAAAAAAGACTATTAAGTATGATTGTTAAAAAAAAATATTAAAAACGTAAAAAATATTAAATACGTAATACAGAGTATTGTATTGAATGTGCAGTTTTACACAAAAGGGTTAATTATACAGTTTATCTGTTTTTATTGTTATGCATTGAATATAATGTGAAATATCCATAAAATTTGTCACATAGTTAGGGGTTGTCAGTTTACTGAATGGTAAAAAAAGGGGGTTCCTTAAGGAAATAGGTTAGGAATTACTGGCCTAGACTGATAGATAAATATCCAGACAGACACACAGATAGCTATTAGCAAGCCAGACAAACAGACACTCAGACAGACAGATGTAATAATGTAAAACTCACTGATTCAGTTCCACATCCAAGATGAATTTTCTGCCAAAAGCATCGACTTGAAAGCTTGCTTGGGCCACATGGTTCACCTAAAAAGGCAGAAAAGACAAGTTATTCATGTTAACCAACTGCAACCATTATCATATTCATGGTTCAATTCATTATCTTATGCAAGGATCAATTCTCATTTACATTGATGGATGGCTGTATTGTCTTTTTCAGCACCAATCAGCAGTAAGAATATCATTGGTTTCATTGAGCCATCACGGTCTGTCCTCATACTCTGAATTTTAATTTCTGCTCACGTAATCTCACGTTACACTTCAATGCTCCAATTTAATACAGTTTATGTAATGCACACTCACACACACATATACACACACACTTAAGTGAACATACACATATTATTTGACCATTGATTTTCATGTTTACCAGACTGGGTTTGTAACAGTTTCACAAAGCCAAGGATTCATTGAAATTCTTAAACCCACACTGAACCATATTTCTGTCTGGCAGCAATATGAATGTAAACAAATATAGAAATGGAGACTCATCTCTAACTGCATGTGCTGTGTGTGATTGATTTAGTTGGAGGAGGGTCTGATTCATTTCCAGCTCTGGGCACATATGGTACAGGCTTCATGACACACCCTTGGGTCAATGAGGACTCCCTACAATCATTCCTGTGCAAGTCCAGGGGAGTCCCAGAGCTGAGCTGAGACACCGCTCAGCCTCCCCCAGGCTACCTTCATTACAGACCGGACATCGCATGACAACCTGGGGAGGAGGGGTGTGTGGGGTTTCTTTTGTTTCCAATTGAGGGGGTGCCCATGTGCTTACCCAAGGATGACCTTAGCCCGTGAGGTCCCCATTGACCACAGACTCTATTGTTTGTAGGCGTGTGTCTGCGCGTGGTCAATGAATATATGAGCAGGTAAGAGGGTGTGTGGGTGTGTGTGTGTGTGCGAGCACGTACAAAGGGCAATCCCTTTCCATGGCACACTTGTGAAGAAATCTAATCTGGCAGATTGGATCCATGATGGGAGGAGGTACCAGTAATTGTGTTTAATGAAAGCACATCCCAGCTTGACTGAGTCGGGCCAATATTCTGAGGCCACCACTGACTCTTCTTACATTGATTTCTGAGTTATAGCAGGCCTGACTTTCCACTCACAACTGTGGAAGTATGACTGTAAGTGCTATCAATGCACTGCACACAGACTGAGAGGCAGGAAGGCAAACATGCAAACCCAACACGAACTGATTCCATTTAAGGCGTTTGTTTTTTTTTCCCCACCAAAACAACACGAGCACTTTGCTGAACTCCACCGCTGCTCATTCAGCAGTGAAGGTGTTTGTGTCTGAGACCGAAAATAGGCAATGCAACGGAGGTCTATATATAACTTCCTTTGTGTCAGAACGGTTTGACAGATTTGTTTTTAGGCTGCTGATCTAAAAACAGCCAAATAACTGATCAAACTTTGTGCGAGTGACATCACGGCCGATTGCAGCGCAGATTCAACTCTCTGGAGAATAAAAGCCTCAGAACATCAGAAATCAAATCAAAAAACATCAGAAATCAAATCAAAGACGCACCCATCTCCTCCTCCTCCTTCCCTCGATCTGTTCCTCACTTGCAATGTATATTTTATAACCTAATAAGAACTTTGAGGCTGTTACTGATCGCCCGGTATTTTAATAACCATGATCTGACACAATCCATTTTTTATAGCAAAATAAACACATCTCCTGAGCTGTTAACTCAGGAACTGCAGGTTTATCTTAACTGTCTCCAGAGAAGGTAACTGCCTTGTTCAAATATGAGTTATCATCCTTTGCTCTGCAGATATTAGTCTCCTTGCTTTAAACTCCAGTTCACAGAAAGATGGTTTTGCGACAAAACCTGTGATGGACATTAGTATAAGCTTCAAAAGGAAAATATTAAAATGATATCTGATGGCAGATGGTTCCTGTTAGCTTGTTTACCCGTCTGAGGTGTGAGAGAGACAAAGGGTTAACACCTCCCTGCCTGCTACCATCTGTAGCCCTCTCCACTCTCTGAGCCCTGAATAGGCTAGCCTACACAAACCTAAGCCGCACAAATTAAAAACGCATGACAGGTTTGCACAATGCTAATTGACTCATCTCTTGAAATGAACCCAGCAGACATGCTGCTTCACTGAACTGACTCGGTAAACACAGTTACAGTGATTATGGTTATTACTGCACTGTATCGGTTATTACAGACGAGGCCAAACAGCTCTGCTAGGCTTTTTTTTTTTTTTTTTTTCCAAACAATGTTGTTGTGCCTGTTGGGTTTAGATAATCAGCAGCAGCTTTCTGCATAACTTTGCAACATGGTAGATTCAGTGGGCGGTCATGTCCACATTTACTGCAAAACAGTTTAACCCATGCATAACCTATTTTACCAACAAGTCTGCGGTGTTCTGCTTAAACACCAGCTACAGTAGAAAATAATGTTAAATAACTGTGAACATACATGTACATGTTTTTTTAAAGGTCCAGTGTGTCGGATTTAGAGGGATATATTGGCAGACATGGAATATAATACTCAAAACTGTGTTTCAATTAGTGTAAAATCACCTTAAAATAAGAATTGTTGTGTTTTCTTTAACTTAGAATGAGCTGTTTATGTCTACATACGAAGCAGGACCTCTCATATGGAGGTTGCCATGTTGTTTTACTGCAGCCCAGAATGGACAAACCAAACACCTGCTCTAGATAGGGTCATTCCATTTTAATGTCGGACACCATAGTTCTCCTACAAGCTTGGCACATGGAGGCAGTGTTGGGGACACTTAATTAAATTACAAAATAAATGTAATTGTAATCAGTGACAATAAGAGTGGACTGAGCAGATAACTTTTGTAAACAGTGACACAGACTGACTGAGAAATCAACTCAGGTTGGGGAAACAGAATACAAATAATTTTTTACTGTACGTTGGATTTCTGCACTGTCACTGATCGTATAATACACTGTGGGAAATACTGACTTTTGCCATGTCGTGTGTTTCTTGTTTGCTTATGTGTCTTGTGTGTATTGCTAGTTTAAGGAGATGGTACCTGTTCTTGTTCCTTTGTAGGGTTTTACTGGTTGAAACTACAAACTGAATTTCATCAGACTGTGACTCTGACCGGCATCTTGGCATAACTGCCAGCAACCGATACAAGTTACTGAGAAAAAAGACGTAATTAAATTACAGTTACTAATCAAAATGGTGGTGTTAACAAATGATTTACATCTGAATATACTGTGTTCAGTGAAAAGCTTACATGCAGAGTACAACAGTAATTCTGTTGCTTTGCATCTTTTTGCTGTGCAGTAATTCCTTCTTTTGACAGAGCCTATTTCACGACATTATATATTTATTGCCCAGTTCAAAACATTTGTTAGAAAGGTAATCAAAAATAATCAAATGTAATAAGCTACATTACTTTGAAGTAATTAAAATAGTTACATTGCATATTGCGTTTTTAAAAGGAGTAACTAGTAATCTGTAACCTATTACATTTTAAAAACAATCTCCCCAACACTGCACAGGAGAAGTTTCAGTTCTGCAACCTCACCACAAGCTGCCGATAAATCCTACACACTGGACCTTTAAATCAACAAATTATCTCTCTTTAGAACAAATTTCCTGCAGATTATCACACTAAATATTGAGATATTCAGATCGTGCAGCCAAAAAGATGCTGTTTTTTTTAGACAAGTAATAATAATAATAATAATAATAATAGTTCTTAAACTTAAAAACATTACATAAAACCACATTTTTATGAGGATTAAATAAATTTGATTATGAAAGAATTGTGACAGATGTACCAAAGCAGGACATTTAACAGTTAAATTAAATTTAGTGCTCCTCTGGTGGACAGACTATGTAATAGTGAAAAAGTGACAGTGTTTCTTAATTTGGCTACCTTAAAAATACCGTATCTTTAGCATTGATCTGCAACTTCTTGGTGCATATTGGTTATCATATAGGCTATGCTGATGTTACCAATTAAGGACATAGATTTTATTTCAACACTTGAGGGTTAACACTTAATTTCCTGCATTATGGTGAGTTTTTACGCACCAATTTCAGGTAGAGATGTCATAAATTCAATCAGAATAAAAGTCCTCTGGTGCTTTATTGTTTTTTATTGTAAATTATATTGAGGAGGGCATATCCCCTGAGTCCCCCTTTAAATCTACACCTATGTTACCAATAAATCTGTGATAAGATGAAGTCTGCTGATATCGCCCACTCAGTTATATAAGTCGCGCTCTAACAGTTAACCTTTAAGTCTTTTATTTATGACTAAAGTGAAAAAATGCTGCTTGATGCATGGGACATGGTCTGGTATAGGTGAGGCAGCAGCCCAGCTGGACATGCAAGATGCAAGTTATCACTAAATTATTAATGATCCTGGTTGGCCGGATGACTACAGCTGATTTCCTACAGTAAATGTGCAGCGTGGACAGAGTAACAATTGAAGAGGTGATCAGTTTAAAGACAGGGTGGTCTGCTTTTTGCATATGAATGCAGTGATGACCCATATAGCACCTGCAGACAGTCTAATTAGCACGGCCTGTTCCTGCCTAAATGTTTCAAGCTTCTTCTGTTTTGCTTGTAATTAACTAATTATTAATTTCCCCTCCGAGGGCAAGGGCAGAGGAGGGGATGAATCAATGCAAACATAAACACGCAGGAAACAGAGCAGCAGCAGCAGCAGCAGCAGCAGCAGCCTCTCCCCATCCTGACAACAGCACAAAACACTGTGTACCTGTGTGGAGCCGGCGCTGGCTTTCACCCTGGTGCTGAGCTCATCCTCTGTGATCTGGCTGTGGTTGTGTCTGCTGTAGAGCAGGCGGAGAGGCACCGTGTCCTCCTTCCCGACAAACCTGCCCGCATCACGAAGAGCCTTCAAGCTCGACAAGGCGTCTCCTGCACAGAGAGGAAAACACAGATTTCAGTACCCGCCTGTCCCTCCGTGCGGGAAACAGAGGTGATGCAGAGAAGCATTTATCACAAACACCGCCATCTGAAATGTCGATTGGTCCTATTTCCTTTGATAACACGGAACAGCTACAGGCTACATGCATATTTTAGATGGAGACTGTGAAGTAGCCAAAGCTGTGATACAAATAACAAACAGACACAGGCACATTAATGGCGATTTAACGATTTGTTTGCGCCATAATAATTTCTATAATATCTAAAATAGCATCAGTTACCATTTTGGGCATTAGGGCTGCTCTGGTGACCGACGTGCATCAATCCACAGACGCACAAAAGGGAAATCCACCATCGCGGGCGCATCATCAGCATCATCACCTTCCACTCTCTTGTTGGAAATTATAAAACAATGCGGTATTCCAGGAGCAGGCTCTCGGGGTCCTGCCTTCGCTAGGGGAGCTGGAAGCCGGGGATGGTCGTCTGGTTAGCGCAGTCCCTGTGGTTGGGGGCCATCGGGGTCCTTACGAGTCTGAACGCCGAGCGCGTCTGAGCGCACCGAGACCCCGCGGATCAGCAGCACGGAGGAGGCGAGGAGGAGAGAGAGAGGAAGGGAGGGGAGGGGAGGACTGGGGACACCTCCTTAAAACACATCAATATCCAGCGGCTCACTGCAGAAACGTCTAATGCATAAATATGAGCGAGCAGTGGAGACAGGATGGAGAAAAGCTGCGGGCCCGGCCTTCACCGGCAGGGATCATATCAACGCCCGCCTCCTCCACCTCCCTCCATGTTCAATTGCTGCAGGAGCGCCATTCCTGCCCAAATCTGCCTGTTATTATCATCATGAGTCACTCCATCATCTGCCAGTGCTCCCAAAGCCAAGTTACAAGAACGGGAATATCAATAAATGCCTGTGTGTGTGCAGTGATGTTGTTTTTGTGCATGTTTTATTATTAATTATCCCTTATTAGGACTGCAATAATAAAATATTTGTCTTTCAATTCCTGATATATTTTCGATGTTTTAAAAAAAAATTACAACACGTCAAATATCTGGGTTATTTTATATTTTTCAAGGGTCCACAAACGCTTTAAACTGTGGACACGTGGCGGCATCAACAAAAGGGACAGTTCGCCCTAAAATTAAAAACACACATTTTTCTCTAATCTGCAGTGCTGTTTATCAGTCTAGATTGTTTTGGTGTGAGTTGCAGAGTGCTGGAGATATTGGCTGAAGAGATGTCTGCTTTCTCTCCAATATAATGGAAGAAGATGGCGGTCGGCTTGTGGTGCTTAAACGGTCAAAACAACCCGGTCTTAATTGTAAGTCATCAAAATCCAGCACTTGGCTAGTGACTTGCAGCGTCAGACACTGACAAAAAAAAACCCGTCCTTTAATGTCAGCATGATATGCAGCCAGTTGACGTTCACGACGCTCAGCTGCATCAGGGGGAAAAGTGACAGGAGAAGAATGGAAGTTAAGGTGGCCAAAGTCTGACTGCAGCGGGTGGGAGTGATAGTGGAGGAGTCCAACAAACACTAGTCTCTATATACAGACTTTACATTCAGTGAATGTAGAGTCTGTAGGCAAACCCCGGAGATCTTGCCTCCGGAAGAAGAGCGGAAGAGCCCTGGTTTCCGGTTGTAGGCTGTTTGTAGTCCGCGTGATATTGACCAATCACGTTTGAGCTGGCTGCAGTTGTTGCCAAGTTAAATGGTCCGTACAGTGAACTAACGAAGCGGTACATAATTGGCGTCACTGCAAACTCTGAATCCATCGCAATGGTTCAGCATATTTACTTATATATAAACTGAAGTTGGAAACGGAAATTCTCCTCCTCCGCCCATATCAAACCGGAATGCCAAAAAATCATGAGTCTGCCCCCAGAGGCTGTATCGCCCTCTGCCAGAAGTCAGACGCCGAATACAGCCGATGGGTTCCGAGAATGAACAAACAGACTTTCAACCCGTAGAGCGGTGTTCACGTCCCGTAAGATTCTGAAGCCAAACTTTGTTCTTTTTTCCTAAACCCAACCATATGCGTAAATTGTTGGAGGAAAAAAAACATCCATTGGCGTTGTTGTACTGACATAGTGTGTTTATTTTGAAAGAGCCTATCTGTAAACAGTAAATTTCCTGTTAAAACAGAAGTGTGTTGGGGCGTTGGTAGCTTAGTGGATAGTGCCGGTGCCCCATGTATAGAGATGATGCCTCACTGCAGCGGTTGCAAGTTCAACTCCAGCTTGCAACCCTTTGCTGCATGTCGTCCCCCCACTCTCTCTGTCTCCCCATTTCACACTGTCCTGTATATTAAAGGCAAAAAAAAAATGAATGACAATGCATGTAACAAGAAGAACTTGACACGGCGTCCCAGAACGTCAACAACCAACGCACCCAGGGTATCTTTCACGTTGTATCTGGACGTGGAAAGTCCATGACCAAACATCAGTGTGTGACAAGGTCGGAGTGACAATGTGTTGGTCAAAAAAAATTATACATTTTAACAACCCAACAGCAAAGTCTCTTTGGAGAAATCACGGCCAGGTTACTCAAGATAATCCACAGACCTTGTTGTGAGCAGTGTCATACAGGAACTATTTTCTTTCTGTTGAATCACATCCACCAACTGTGTCACCACGCAGAAGGAAGTGTGCATCTACTCATGGATGAGAGGTTGAGCTAGCAGGACATGCAGGCTTCCTTCTATGCAGTGATACTGTTGGTGGGTGTTGTTCTGCAGAAAGAAAGAGATTAATTATCATGAAGAATGTGGACATCAACACGTGAGGTGGAAAAGAAGATTAAAACAGGACGTTAAAATACAAAAGAAAAGCAAGGCAAGTGAACATTTGAACATGAAACTGCTCACAACAAGGTCTGTGGATTATCTTAAGTAACCTTGTCATGATTTCTGGAAAGAGACATTGCTGTTGAGTTTTTCAAATGTATTTTGACACTTTGAGGCACCACAAACCAAGTGTTGTATAGTTCCACTGTACTGGAGAAATGGCTTACCTCTCTATGGCCAATATCTCCAACACTCAGACTCACACCAAAACAATCTAGACTGATCAATAACACTACAGGGGCCTGTATCACGAAGCGAGATCAACCTTTCCTGGGTTACCCAGACCTATCCTGGGTTGACTAACCCTAACAATGGCAATCAGGATAATCGGTATCACGACGCTGGATATCAACTCGGTAACTCAACCCAGGGTTGCTTTATCAAGAACTGTGAACGCGCACGCAGCGGACCAATCACAATCATGAGAGAAGTGCAGTGTCACTGAGCGTCCTCACAGAGCGCCGTATGTGAGGGCAAAAAAAGTGTTTCTCGTGAGGATCAGAGATTAATTCTACTAAAATATGAGGAGGAGAAAAGCAACATTACAGAAAAGGCCAACACCGTGGCAGCTGCAGGAGGAGGAAACGTGTGGCAACGCACAACGGGATGAATAATGTTTAGTTTTAGTTTAGATTAGTTTATTTGCACATAATGTTAAAAATACGATTTACAAGATTAAAAAAAAGAAAAGTGCCGGAGAGGTTAGAAGCCACTAAAAGCTTATCAAAGAAATTCCCCTGTCAAAACATCAATGAAATCACATAATAGAGAAGAAAAAGAAATGGTTGAGGAAAGAAGAAATAGAGGAGGAGAGAGGGAAAAATCAAGACAAAACAAGGTAGCAAATAAAATGATGTGTAGGTTAAATTACTCATCACTGGTTCAAGTAGCTACAGTACCTGTACCTGTACATCTGACACTGATCACACCCTTGAATCCCATGAAATCAATGCTGCGCAGATGAATTGCGTGTATTACAATTATCGTCTAACATCATTGCGTCTGATAAATTGGTCTTCTTTGTCATAACGTTATATATGCTACAATAAAGCTTAAAGCTGACGCCACAATTAAATCATATCAACACCAAATTGATAGTCTGAATAAAATCATCCTGATATTGAGCTGTGTTAGAAATTAACAGCTGCGCAAAAATATACCTAGTCTCCCTCTTTAAAAAACAAAAAGGAAAATCCCTCAAACACCATGAAGTGTAGACATGATAGGCTACTTTGCACATTTCCAGCAGCAAAGCTGTCAATTAGGCCCATTATCTTTAACAGGGATCATTTCCTCCAACAAAACAAAACATTGGCACTAATTAATGGTGCTATTAAGTGTCCACAAATGATCAGTTTCTTTCTTATGAAGGGGTGGGATGAAAGTTCGACTTCTTTCCACTCCTTTTTGAACAATCTTTTCATTGTCTGCTTTCTTTTCTTTTTTAATGTTCAAAATAAACTTTCAAATCAAAATCAATCAAATGAATTAAACTTCCCGTCATGACTGAGCTGCATTTCTGTCAGCCATCAACAGCTGATTGGCCAGTGGGTGGTGCTTTTTATAGGATCAGATTCAACCCTGAACTTACCCTGCTCCGGAGCAGGATAGCTGTTCAGAGTAAGTTACCATGGTGATCTACCCCAATAAGAACTGAACCGGCTTCGTGAGACCGAAAACCCAGGGTTAACCCTGAAGTAACCTCGCTAAGACATTAATCCTGCTTCGTGATACAGGCCCCAGGTAAGAAGAAAAATATGTATTTTTAATTTAGGGGTGAACTGTCCCTTTAAACCTGGACATTAGGATTCTTTGCTTGGAGAGATGATGTGACTCTGGGGAAACGTTGAGCATAATCTGGCACAGTGTCACATTTAGTCTGATGATTTTAGGAACAATCAGTTTAAAAAAGGATTTAAAACAGTCACCTTACATTAAGAGAAGACTCAATTATCCCAGCTTTTTAAAACGCTTATTTATTAAAAACACTTTACTTGAGATGACTGTAACAAGGGAAAATAAAGTAACAACAAAAAGTTGTGGGGGTTTAAATTATGGGTTCACACAATGATGATCCGATCCAACCAGGGGCCTTTATGTTTTAGGTTTGCATGGTATTATATGTAACTTTTCCACACTGAAATGTTTTAAAACAACCATATCAATATCATGTTTTGTTAATTTGGATACTTAACATTAGCCCAAACATTTTCAACAATAGAACCCATAGAAATCTGTCATTTTAATAAAGGATACAGTACATGTCATTTGATCCTTGTCGCCTATCAGTGGCATTATGAACCCTTTGTCTTGTATGCTAGAAGCTAGAAGCTGCCTTTTTATCCTGTTTTAAGCCACATTTTTACTATAAATGTTTTAGATCTTGGTTGTTTTTAAGTATACGTTTTAACCAGATGAAGGATGTTAAGTCATCAGACAACTGGATCTTAAGTTATCAGAGAAACAAGCTGAGCTAATGTCAGCTGCAGCTCAACTCCAGCCCCTGTGGTAACAAACAGCCTTGGAGAAACACTCATTTTTAACTTGAAACTGCTTTATTAAGTGTTTTTGGATAATTCAGCTCCTGGTAAAAAAACCTCCTGAACAATGAACGCAGAGGGAAACCTAACCGGGTGAAACCGTCTGCAATGACGGCATTGCATCATCTTTTATTGTTTGATTAAAAGACCCCTTGCAACAGAAAGATGTAATATTATATGTTTAAAGATGTGCAAGTACTTAAGACTCTAAATTTATACTTATGGTGTGTACATCTGAGTGAGTGGTTGTCTATTACCCTGAAGAGCAGGTATAGGTAATGGCTGGACTCCTAATGTGTGGTATTCAATCGTACGAGGCAGGTACA